AATTCTGAGCAGCTTCTTCGTTTGTTTATCACAGGGCCTCTTAAACGTACTCTAATATAGACAAAAATTAATGCCCCTCATTCCCAGCTGCTGGCCATGTACATGTGTTCTGGCAGTGCTCGCACTACTGAACATGCGTATTCGCACCACCTAATTGTAGAACTCCATCAGAACTTCGTTAACTGTGCAGTTGTCCATTGTCCACTTCGTCCTTTGCTTTACGTATGCGTAACTTGAAGGTAACATTAAATTAAATGCTATAATTATAGACTGATATAGAGCACCACAGTTAAGGGCCAACAGCTGAAGAGACATTCTGAGAAATTGTTATCAGCAGGAAAAACCAGACACTAACACTAACAGACGCTTATATAATATTTTACGTTTTGTATCGCTATTCATAAGATGAAAAATCTAAATTTGGGATCCACCATTTTTTGTATTGTACTCTGAGAATACCACTCAATTTAAACTTTGTATGATTTTTGATAACAAAGTGCCAGTGGTACGGTGATCGGTCTTAGAAACTCACATTCGTTCACTATATTTCCTTCAGCTTAGTTCGAAAGCTTTACAGAACAATGGAGATGCTGCGATATTTGTCAAGTTGTGTTTATTAGCTGTCAAGTGATGCAATAGAAAATAAAGTCAATATAATCGCTTATCAGAAATCTCCTAAAAAATATAAAGCGCATCTGCAAGTTCTCATTGCAGTTCGTGTTTTTTATACTATGGCACTACCAGTTAAAAACCAGCATATCATAGATGATATAAGCTTGATTTACCCACCTAATCAGGAGGCCTGTATATACTGCTACAGGCCTGTTGCAGTTCAGCTCACGTGCGTTGATAATACGTGCCGAATATGAGAGACGATAGCCGAGAATCGTACATGTAGAACCAGGCCATATCATTCAGCTTCCCCTCGGGGGTGAATTGAGTGGCCAGAGAAACAATGGGTTTCGATGAGCATACGTAAGTTAGTGAACTGCCGAGGGAAATGTGAGATGAAAATTAATATATTCGCTGAGGCTATAACGAAAAATACTCGTGCTCAAGTAAAAATAAAAGGTAGACTGGCTATTAAAGGTGCTCCCTGGTGATAGTAGGCCTAATAGACTAAATCAAGTCGTATTTCGGACCCGCATTTTGCTTTGCCCTTTATCACACTAGTATGATTATCTGACTTATCTAATCTCGCGAAGAAAATCACACCTGCTGAAAGTTTAGTTTTAGTCCTAATGGGCCGTTCAATTTGAAGCGATGTATTACATTATTTGACAGTGTAACACATATTATTGTATTCTTCGGCGACATAAGGCTCTTAACTATTAGTTTTAAGTGGGTGGTTAACTACGCAAGAAACTAATGCTTGATATTTTGTTTAAGGGTCACATAAACATGCACCTACTTTTACCACTGTGAAATACTTTGATAAGATAGGTCAAAATGAAGTCGCAACTCCTCAATGGAAATGCAACCGACTTCTCACATCGATCAGCGCAATTTGTGAAAATATTGTTGGGGAGTTACGTTAGGACTATTTAAACTGAAAATATTACAATAACAATTTTGAATTAAAAATTCCAAACAACAAAAAAGACACCTGGCCTACGCTTAAAGTGCGGAACTGTCTCAGGAAGCTGGAGTAGCGGCATTTCGAGAATGTGATGCGAACTTTCTTGGGGCTACGAATACAAGTAAACTTTCCAGGTAACCGCTACGCCATTATTCATAATTTTTGTCAGGTTGTAAAGCACTCACTATAATTGTTTATCTTAAGAAGAAGCGAGGTAACCGCTAAACACTGCAAGATATTTATTTATTTATTTATTTATTTATTTATTTATTTTATTTATTTATACTGTCAACCCTCACTTGAGGGTCATTACAGGGAGGGAAGCATAGGATATGGAAAGTAAATACAGACATTGATATTTTCAGCAACTTTGAACAATAACACAATAGCATATTCATTGCTCGGCAAAGTAAACATCAAGAGCACATTCAAATTTTTTAACGTCAGAATTTTCAACAATATGTCGCGGCAATTTGTTCCACGCTTCTATAACATCAGGGAAAAAAGATTTGCGAAAGACGTCCGTGCGAGCACCGAAGGGGCGAACTGCCGCGTCATGATTGATCCGGCTGCTGAGCTTATGCGGGGGGTGTACGTAAATTGTTCTATCTATTTTTATTTGACCATGCAATATCTGAAAAAATACATTTAGGCGCTGCTTTTGTCGTCTAATTTCTAGAGATTCCAAACCACTTAGTTTTAACATTTCGGTAACCGAATCAGTCCTTTTATACTTCGAACATATAAATCGCACGGAAAGTCTCTGAATTCGTTCCAGTTTATCTATTAAATCCTTTTGGTGGGGGCTCCAGGCAGCACAAGAATATTCTAAAACAGGGCGCACAATTGTTTTATATGCAAGCAGCTTGACGTCTTTCGTAGCATTCGGTAATTTAGCACGCAAGAAACGCAGTTTTCTGTAAGAGGCACAGCATACATTCTCGACATGTGCACGCCATTTCAAATCATTCGTAATATGCACTCCCAAATATTTAAATGCACACACCTGCGGTAAATAATTAGGTCCAATGCTGTACGTAAATGGTAAAACGTGTTTCTTGGTAGTTATATGCGTATATGTTGTCTTAGAATAATTTATTTTCATCTCCCATTTATCGCACCATGTTTCAAAATCATCAAGACAATCATTAATTACAATTTGGTCATTCACACACGTCACTGGGGCATAGATTAAACAATCATCAGCAAACAATTTAATTTTTACAGGAGGGTTAACAATGTCAACAACATCATTTATATACACCAAAAACAGCAATGGGCCCAACACGGAGCCTTGGGGCACACCGGAATATAACGTGCGTTTTGTGAATGTGGTGGCTGATGACGATAATTTGTTATGAGGGAGGCCATTGTAATGGGTTGGGAGCTTCAAATAACCCACTAGTTACGTAATTAGCACTGTGTGATGACCGATCAGTGTTTTCTTCTTCTACCATGCTATATTACATACGTTCCTGTTAGAGAGAAGGAGGAGAGAATACCATTATTGAGGCCCCGAGGAAGCAAATCATGGGGACGTTTAGGATTTTTTGGCAAATCTAAGAAGTACACTTGCAAGGCATCCACTGGGCTATAAATCATAAGCTTTGTCAAATAGGGCAGCATCAAATAAACCCTTATTCCTCATTCTGCAGATAGATGTAGTACAGGTAACACATCTGTAAGACATTATGTTCGCGCTGTTGCTGATGAGCAGATTTGGCCTGAACCTTTTGTTATGTGTTGGAAGCATTTTTCGACCCACTCCATATGCAGTTCACGTAGCGTGATGCATAGTTATGACAATTGTCTGCAACGTATATTACATATGTTAACGTGGCTCCTTTCCGACATAAAATCTGTAGAGGTTTTTTTTTTTCGCGAAAGAGTTTCAAGCATAGGTGGAGTACAAAGCACCCACGAAGAGCGTCCCAGTTATAACTCCGTAACATCCCGAATATTATTTTATAATTCTATTTTTTGCTATTTAGTGCAATAGCATCGATGAACACCAGCAGTGACGGGGGTGGCCAAGCGTGGTGCCAAAATCAGCGTTGTTGTGATCTGATGACAGATTTCGCTACAAAAAGTCAGAAACAGTCACGCGAGATCAGCACGCTAGCGAGAGCTCACAACAAAAGCTTTGAAAACATGCTGCGATGGAAAGTCATTCTTTCTCAATACAAGTGGAGGAATACCAGATGTGAGATCACAGATGTGTACAGCAGTAAATGACTACATAACGTGCACTGTTAGAATTTACGAGATGTTTGAATACAACTTTGAATACAACGAAAAATTACACAATTTTATGTCCTTAGCAATGAAGCTGAAGTAAAAGCTCATTTCAATTTAGTCGACGTCAGCACCTTTCGATAAGCCTGGATAAGCAAACAAAAGCTAATCGTTTCATTTTAGAACAGAGGCTTTGTTCGATAGACGAAAGCTGCTGGCAGACCAAGCTGCTGAGCTCAAAACAAACAATGGAGCATTATTGCACACTTCCGAACATATGTGACAAACAGCGCTAAACGTCCAGTTGTATCGATATTCCGGCAGGTCTTTCCGCAGCTCGCTGTAACTTTCTTGTTGCTGAAGTGAGCGCTTATCTGTTCATGCTACAGTGAGCTAATCGCAGAAAACAATGGAAAAAATAGAATGATATCAACTTGTGCATTACATCTGGTTCAATAAACAGCAGATATATGATATGTTTTATGAACGGGCATTAGCCCATTGTTTGGCAGTTAAAGCTGTAATATCACTTTTATTGCGAAATGTTTTATTCTCAGCTTTGCCCATAGCTCATCATGACCTATCAGCCAAGTGAACCATTTCCTGTCTTTCAAACTATTTACACTGCTTGAGCCATTTCTTTAAAGTACATACACTTTCATAACCTTTGTATTTTCGAAATTCCTCGATTAAAAAAATTTACCATGGTTATTCGCTAGTACACTCTGTAGGGACATGGTGCTTTTGTCAAGCTGCAGTATTCTAACCTTCATTCTATCGCCCAAATATTTCTCGTGCAGAAATGAAATGATTTCTTTTGCACTATGACTTTGATATGACGCTTTGTCAATAAATGAAACATTAGCCGGTGCTGTATCATGACCGAAACAATGTAGGGCACCAGACAACGTAATTTCGCCACACCCATTTGTTTTTTTATTTTGCTGTATGTTCGATGTAAACCCACAAAGACAGCAGAGATCATTTTGTTGAGGTGGTGGGAAGGACGCGGGCAGTTAGGTTTGTTTCAGAGCTTGCGCGACCACCAGAGTGGACTCGAAAGTCCGATGGATGATATATAAAGGATGGTGCGTACCAACCTTGTGGATTGTCGACGTCTGACGTTCTGTTTGCTCCTAACAGTGCAGAATGTGTATCGCCTGCCGTTTCAATGCCGCAAGTTTGCACAAATAACAACATTTTTTGGTCTTTATTGAAGTGATCATTTTTGTTCTGTTTCTCGTACTTGAGTGCAATCCAGCTCAGATCTTGTTCTTCAGCTCACCATCCTCGGCTTGAACAACATTGTACAAATCTTTGCGTTCGCTCGCATTCTTCATTTTCTTCGACAACCTTGAAACACCAAACAACGAAACGTAAGCTCACTATAAGCGCAGTTCAAAAACGATGACCACTTAAGCGCATGCAGTGGTTTCCGGTTTATATTCTTTGAAACTTCGAAACTGTGGTGATTGCAACACCCATAAACCGGGATACTGAATGTTTGAATGAAGAAACCTCTTCACAGAGTAGTATAGGAGCACGATCCTATAGAAAGTATCGGCGTTAGCAACAGTACCGGGCCATGACAACAATGCCCGCTGTGAAAACCAATCTTACTTCCATAGTTTGTACAAATTTACTTTAACAAAGATGGTAATAGTGCTCAGTAGATTTAAAACAATCCAACAGTGAAAGAAACGCCTGAGTGATATTGTTACGAGTGCTATAATGAACTTGAAACGCAACACAATATCGCAATGGCAGAATTGGAATGAGGCTATAAATCTATATAAATATATGTATATATGTGAATACGTACACATATTAAGACATATAAAATACGAATAATACAAGCCAAGCACTCCTAACAATGTCTGAAACAATGTACCACCATCATTTCAGTGAGGGCCTATAACCTATATTCGCCATGTAGTCATGTCGTACCATACAAGTTTTGCAATATGTCATGTGAACGAAACCACCGTCAGAGCAGTAAGACCATAACATGTAAATCTTTACATTCGTGACATACACGTCATGATTATCATGTTATGACTAGCCACTTATGCTCGTCATATAGTCATGTTATGCCATACCAAGTACAAATCCCATTATCTAGATGGTCAGGAGAGGCAAAAGTAGTAATTAGATAGATAGATAGATAGATAGATAGATAGATAGATAGATAGATAGATAGATAGATAGATAGATAGATAGATAGATAGATAGATAGATAGATAGATAGATAGATAGATAGACAGATAGATAGATAGATAGATAGATAGATAGATAGATAGATACATAGATAGATAGATAGATAGATAGATAGATAGATAGATAGATAGATAGATAGATAGATAGATAGATAGATAGATAGATAGATAGATAGATAGATAGATAGATAGATAGATAGATAGATAGATAGATAGATAGATAGATAGATAGATAGATAGATAGATAGGGCCCTGACACTTACTTGAGCGCTGAGTAGAGCTCACCCTCCTCCAATGTGTCTGGCAGTGGACTGCCAAACGTTTCCGGTAGCAGAATCATGGAGGCCGACATCACAAAAAGCATCGCTGAGTATAAAATAAGGATAATCTTCTCTCCCCAAGACATCAACTGAAATCAGTAATATAAATGGAAGCCACATTATTAGCGCATTTGAAACGTTGAAGGACCTTTTTGTTTTCAATTTGGCAATACCCTTCCCTAAAGCCCTGAGTATAAGTACCCAGAGAAAAAAAATACAGTACAGAAATATATTGGGCAATAGGAAGATAGCCGATGTGACAGGATTAAAAAAATATTGGGCTATCTTTTATATAGCGAGCTTATTGTCCCTAGCCACACTCGCCCCTTGAGCACGCACAGCGTCCGTCTGCCTTGTTTTAAGTCATGGCTATTAACATCGGTTTGAAGCCTTGTCTTCAGTTATTGCGTTCTGTCACTATATTTTTGTCTTGAAGCACGCCATACCCTCCCGCAATACGTAGCACAAAATGGGCCATGTGATGGTCATTTGAAGTAGTAGTCCTAGTGGTAGCACAAGTAATTGTAGCAGTAAAAACGGTAGTGACAGTAGCAGCAATGATACATTAGTAACTGTGCCATTTATGTACATGACCATATATGCATATTGGCTTGTATGCGTACGTGCTTGTTTTTTCTGGCAGTGACCCGCTGTTGTCTGTTGTATTCGTGGTGCCAGGAGTCTTATCAGGGGTGTATAAACGCGTCTTTTGCCCTGGCATCATCACTATTCGTTTCCTAATGTCAGAACTATAAATAAATTTGGAACATAAATGTTATGGTGTTAGTGGTCGCGGTAGTAGTAGCAGTAGGAAATCGTGGTCTGTATCTTCGTGATGATGATGGTAGCGGGAGTTAGAGTGGTGTAAGCAACTGGACGGCTATGTGCAAGCGCAGCCTTCTTTTTTCCCTCTTGCCTAGATGTTGAAATCAGGTACATCTTGTTTACTGTAAGCTTATATGACGCACAGTTATGCCAGTTCATTAGGTTCCACAGCTATTGTACAAAATCATTCCTTTTTCTTTCGCTAATGCATAGAATCAAAGCGAAATTACTCGAAAGTTTTCCGTATAGATCCTATGTATATGGCACGAAAAAAATATATCCTATTCAGCATGCCAGATCATATCATGAAATATGCTTGATTCATATGTTACTTAGGTGAGATGATGCGAACATGAAGTAATACCGTCAGCGCACCTGAAATACATACTATACTGATTGACCAGAAAAAAAGCAGGTGGTGAGTTTTCTTACAAACACATTGATCCAAGGTTCGAGTGTGGCGCCCAGGCGGCCTATAGTGCTGCATAGCCCGAAGCCTCCGCTCCGAGCGACGGTGGGGAACATTTCATTGAGGAACACAAACTTTGTTGTGTAGCCCAGCGTGTAGGTGAACCATCCCGCCATGCGGATAGTCGTTCGCAGGGCTACGTACTCTGCATTAAAAAAATACAAAGAAGTGACGCGCATTATTGTGATGGAACACCACTGATCTGGTGTGTGTTTTTCTATGCCACGAGATGGCGTAACATGTCTGAGTTTGAACGAGGATGAATGAAGTTAGTGCCAGTATACCCAAGAGCAGGTTGGTGACATCTAATGTTCACGAGGGCATCACATTGGACGGAAATTGTTCATGGCGTCACCAGCTCCTCTAGTTGGAGCGACGTGTAAACATGAGGATAGGCAAGTCCACCAAACTGTAGAAATAAAATGAACACCGACATTATGATAAGGCATCTGCAATAATGCGCGTGCGTGTGCTCCAAAATAAAATGCCGGTTCCATCAGCGTTTTTGCAACCCTAAATCTTGCCTGCGTGTGCTCCTTGATCTTAGCATAAGACATTTTCGCTGTATATGGGCAGTCTGGCCATGTGACGTCACTGGGACCGAACCAGCGTAGTTCCAGTCAGCAGCCGGGCGCCGTACTTGAAAAGCCACCACAGTTGGGTCTCACACAGAGGAACTAACTATCGTTATGCCGCTGGGGAGGCCGTGGGGCTACTTCAAGCTTTCTAAATGACAGATTTTCTGCCCGCTCCTTCGTGCTTGTAAAATGTACAGCCACCCAATTTTTAACCTTAACACCCTAGCATCAGTTGCCGAGCCTGTAAGCGCCTCTTACGGGAGTCCTGATGCTCGGTTGCCGGAACAGCCGAGTAGAAGACAGCTTGTACAGAACTGTTCATCGCAGGCATGCGCTTCATTTAGCCGCTGTTCTCCGTTAAACGCCGCTTATCGACGAGTCGACGCTCGAGCATTCAGGTTAAAAAAAGTGGTAGCCGTACTTCATTTAAAAATTCTATTGTCAGTGAGATATCTGTCTAAAGCACTCACCCCTCGGTGTGAAAGCGGTGATGAGTAGAGTGAGACTGAAGAACCCGTAGCTTGAAAACATGGTGGGAATACGCTTGAGATATTTAGTTGTCGCAAGGGACACGGTGTAGCCTGCACACTCCAATCCGGCGGCGATGCCGAAGTTCAGGTACGGATTTCCTCCGAGCGTGGTAGCCGTTCTCGAGAAGCCGTAGTACACTATGGACGACAGAAAACTGAAAGTAACCAAATTTTGGTCAGCGAGATTCTTCACTTCTGTTTTTACAGAGGAGGTGTCTTAGTATACTCTGCATCGTCTTCGAAGTAGTAGTAGTAGTAGTAGTAGTAGTAGTAGTAGTAGTAGTAGTAGTAGTAGTAGTAGTAGTAGTAGTAGTAGTAGTAGTAGTAGTAGTAGTAGTAGTAGTAGTAGAAGGCACTGCGCAGGTCACGTCACCAGGTGTGTAGTAAATAAAACACCACATAAGATGAAATTATACGATGCTGATGCTCAAATAGTGGTGATGACCTTTTCATGTTCGGAAAAGTATCGTTATCTTTACTATAACCTGCAAGTTGTACATTGTGATTTCTCAGAACTACCTGCATATTTTTAATGGAATGGCGACAAGCCTGTACGACGTATTTCTTGCTGTGAATAACTATATAGAATGTTCCTTGTAAGACCTGTGTTGTGTGTGACAAAAAGAAACAGTGTCCTTATGTGTTTTTTATCAGATATGATAGATAGCAAATGATCATAGCTGGTTCTGCCGCTGTAGCGGAAGAGGGTTAGCAGCAACAGATGGGTGTTGCCTAACCATGAAATACAGTCACCCAAAGAAATCTCTTGAACAATAGTCGCAGATATATACAATGCAAATTTCGCGATGTTGTTTAGCGTTGTGTAACATTGATTGATTGATTTGTGGGGTTTAACGTTCCCAAACCTCCATATCATTATGAGAGACGCCGTAGTGGAGGGCTCCGGAAATTTCGACGACCTGAGGTTCTTTAACGTGCACCCAAATCTGAGCACACGGGCCTACGACATTTCCACCTCCATCGGAAATGCAGCCGCCGCAGCCGGGATTTGAACCCGCGACCTGCGGGTCAGCAGCCGAGTGCCTTAGTCACAAGACCACCGCGGCAGGGCGCGTTGAGTAACATCGCTTTTGTGTTAAACGCATTGTGTTTAGTTTAACCTGTTTTATTTTTATAGATTTAACAAGGCTGTTTTAATCTGTGCCTTCAAAGTTGATAACATGGTCACATCAAGCATGTCATTATCAACAGGACTGGCATTTGTTCGGCGCCAACGTTGACCGAATATCTGGAAAGGTCTTCGCGGAACCGATCTGCGGTCATTGTTTAAGTTACGCGACTGCCTTCCTACCCATTGCATAATGGCTTATTCGACAAAATATGGTAGACCTTTCGTTTTGCTTGGTAGCTCTACCAACTAAACACATTTGGGTTCTGTAAAGACCTATACTACTTCACTAGCGAAGCGGCCATGCCTCTCCCCTCTGTCGGCAAAGAAAAAAAAACTAGGGAGGCTCGCGTGAATATGGTAGCGTAAGAAGACAACCTATTCTGAATAATCCTTTCCAATAAGTGCGTGTTGCCCCCTGGGATTCTGCCCCTGCAACTCCCACCGTATACGCAATGAGAGTGAGTCAGATAATAGTAGCGCTTCTTTATCACGTGGCCAGGCCCTAATGCTGCCATAGATGTCTAGCCTTCAAAATTCTCACGCTCTCTTTTTTTTCCTCCATGCTAGGTCTCGTTAGGCATGCGTTTACTTGGTTTCATCGAATCGGCAGCCAAGCTGACTATGTATCCTTGAATATCTTGTAACCCCTCACGGGTAACTGTTTTCTACATGTTGCTTTTGTGGCCGCGTGATAGTGAGTGTTTTCTTCTGCTGATTGTTCTCTCCTTTCACACTTATGCCTCATCGCTACACATTTCATGTTCCATGTTGCCGGTTTCTGATATTTGTGCGCATTGTCTATAGAGTGACAGTTCTCCTCCTACTGGTACAAACCGAGAAAACTGCCTTCTTCGTGCGCTTTTTGCATTGAAGTTCCCTTTTTTCCTGACACATGCGTCGTTATAACCACAGACTTGCGCATATAATTCAGTCTTAAGGTCTGGGACGTACCTGCGGCGCGGTATACAGAGAAAATTATGAAGAGAAAAGCTGCTTGCCGTGTCTCTGCGGCATGCTTCTGCTGCAGCTCGGCTTCTTCCGTTCTGCATAGGCTTGGTCTAACCATATTCAACATTTGCGCAGTATTCTTCGCTTTAGCTATTATTGCAATTTTACCCCTCTTGCTGGCATGTTTTGAGCCTGCAATCAACAAATATCTTATGCTGGTACGGCAAACGTTCTAAACGCTTTCTTAAATGTCGCATTCGTACCAAGGTAGGCACAAACCTCGTGTAAGACCTACCTTCTATTTTTCCTAATTAGTTGACTTTCTTGAGTATTACAATTAGTTCAACGTATCGAGGACATCAAACCAACTAGGCCAAAGTGATTTAGAGGGGACAAGCAAACCATTCCAAAAGTTAAGGCGTTGGCGAGTTCCATCTTTTTTGAGAATTTGACATTTGTGGGACAGGCTATCTACCACACGCTTCAGTTGGCCTCCTTGAATCTATCTTTGCCATGTTTTAATTTGAGCGTCAGTAAACTTCATGAAACTTACGAGACAGTGATTACCACCAGCGTGTTTCTCCGCAGGTATTTGGTTTTGAAAAGTCCAATAACTGAGACGTTGCTCTGGTGGCCTTGCGTAGCCTGTAAAAGTACAAGAAATGCTCTCATGCATATCATTGTCCCACTGCCTTCGAGTTTTCAGCCTGACAAATTTTCATTTTCGTGAATGAAGAATGCAAAACAACACAAATGCTGTAGTGTTGATTGATTGACTGATTGATTCATATGTGGGGTTTAACCTCCCAAAACCACCATATGATTATGAGAGACGCCGTAGTGAAGGGCTCCGGAAATTTTGACTACCTGGGGTTCTTTAACGTGCTCCCGAATTTGAGTACACGGGCCTACAACATTTCCGCCTCCATCGGAAAATGCAGCCGCTGCAGTCGGGATTCAATCCCACGACCTTCGGGTCAGCAGCCGAGTACCTTAGCCACTGGACCACTGCGGCGGGGCAAATACGGTAGTGTTGCGATTTACTTCCCGTTCATATTATGAAAGCCTTCCTTATGTACCAGTGGCATCTACAGTCTCTCATGTCATTTTATCATCGATTTCCCCCCGCAAAACCATTCGGCACTTGTTTTTCCTGCCCCGCCACGGTGGCCTAGTGGCTAATGTGGCTGTTGAGCCGCAGGTCATGGGATTGAATCCCGGAAGCAGCGGCTGCATTTCCGATGGAGGCTAAAATGCTGTAAGCCAATGTGCTCAGATTTGGGTGCACGTTAAAGAACCCCAGGTGGTCCAAATTTCCGGAGCCCTCCACTACGGCGCCTCTCAAGCATATGGTAGTTTTGGGACAATAAATGCCACATATCAACTTGATTTTTCTCCTGGTATCTGTGGCCTCTCTTTTGCTAATATTCGCCAGGGCAATCATGCTATAGCAACAGCTATTCTTGGTTTCTTGGTATGACTGAACGTGACTTTGTCGCTTGCTGTATGTAAAAATGACAATACATGTCTTGTTTTAATAATATTGATAATAATAATATTAATCGCACAATTGGGTACGCTTTGTTTTACCTAAGGAAACAATGATTTGCCAGAGAACGTGAAAAATATCAGTACGTAAAAACCTTCCTTATTTTAATGTATTCCGCTATCTACGTGAGGCCCAAGCTTCATAAGTAAAAAAAAAAAACATCCTGTTGTAGTCGATTGTGGTTGGGCAACGACAGATTCTCCAGAGAGCTTTCGATTCTTTGCGATGCTGAACTCTTGAGAGCCTCAGGCTTCTCTATATAACAACAGCATAAGTGTCAACGAGTACCAATTGTTAGGATGGCGCTACTAGCGCACATGTTCAAAAGAATATGACTGAGATACTGTACGATGACATGAACTTTGCGCTTACGTTCTGCTTCCTCTTCACTAGGCCTTCAACTTCCTTCTCGACGTTGCCGAGTTGCTTCTTATTGAAATGCGCGATCTTGCGGATTGCATCGACCGCTTCGGCTTGCTTTCCGACGCTCACGAGCCACCTGGGCGACTCGTACAGCCATCTGAAAGTTTAGAACTATGGTGAACATACCACAGCACGCTCCCGCCACGTTTGGTCTCTACATGGGTCCGCTTGCCATGGCTACCACTTACCGCACGCGCAGTTCAACTTGTACTGTGTATTTACCCATGGTTGTGTTGGGAGGCGACGTTATTTGGTTATTTATTTATTTATTTATTTATCTTCAGAGCCTCTAGGGCATCAGATAGGGGGGTCCTAATATAGTAATCAGTGACAACAGCAATTTCTTAACAAGAAAAGAAGACAAGAAAACATGCACTGGATGCACAGTCTGTCAACCAAGATAAGCAAGAAATAACACAGCAAGGTTTTCACAAGCGATCACTTTCAAAAAGCTGCACGACACGTTATACAGCAATGCCTTATATTGTCCAACGCAATCAAGGAACTCAAATATGCAGACTTGAAAGATGATTGGTGTGTATGTGTCACAATGCTGGCAGGCAGAGCGTCTCACTCGGTTATCGCTAAAACAAGGGGTGAGTATTGATGTTTTTTTTTTTTTGTGCGAAAAAATATAGGTTCAATTTTATGATCATGGTCAACGCGTGCGGAAACGTACAGAGCAGGAAATGTACAAAACTGTGTAACGCACAGTTGATAGTCGGTTGTGCCACTTGATTTCCTCGGTATTAGTCTTTTTAACTTGTTCCTCGATTTAGCGTAGTGTACCGACTGACCCAGGCTTCAACCTCACTGCTTTCAGGATTTGAAACAATTCAAGGCACCCATCTGTTTGTATTTTTCACATTCCTGCTTCCACACAAAAGTATTCTTGAAAAGGTTCCGCGTACATACGGAAGCGCAAACATGAGTGGGGCCGCGATGGCCGCTTGAACGATGAGCAGTTTCCTCCAGTCCTGGGCGAGCCAAACGATGCCAGGCAGCAGGAGGAGGCCGATAATCCATCCGTAGCCGTAGCACACGTTCAACGCTATGCGAAATTTCGGTCCGATGGTTTCTGCGACTAAGGCGAGAAAGAAAGAAAGTCATGACGGTTATACATCGCCTTTTGCTAGTCTGTATGTCTTCAGGTGTTTAAATAAAATCATTGATCGAGGGCGTATCTTTTGTTAGACACAAAGTAATAAAATTTCAACACAAAATGAGGCTAAAAAATTACAGTGAGATTACCTGCAGGGTTTAACTGTATTATACAACTTATTAGATAGGCGGAAAAGAATTAATGTGGATGAAAAAATCAGTTTGCCGCCGGTATTGACCGCACCTGCCTGTCATAAAATGGGTAAAGTGGTTGCGGCGGATATTTGTCGCGGCGAGTTGCAGAAGTTAAACACCGACCGTTGCGGTGGCAAGAGTCAAAATATCTTCAGGGAACCTAATGGCGATGCCAGGTGAATGTTATTACTAAATCGTCCATGTTGGAGCTATTATCAGTGCTGAATACCTTCATAGGAATAAAAAAGAAAGCGTGCACTATTGAGTCACTGAATCGATAGAACGGCGCTTGCTAAATTTTAAATGGCCTTGCTTTTGATAGAAGCCAGTCATAAATGGGCGTGCCCCGCCACGGTGGTCTAGTGGCTAAGGCACTCGGCTGATGACCCGCAGGTCGTGGGATCAAATCCCGGCTGCGGCGGCTGCATTTTCGATGGAGGCGGAAATGTTGTAGGCCCGTGTGCTCAGATTTGGGTGCACGTTAAAGAACCCCAGGTGGTCGAAATTTCCGGAGCCCTCCACTACGGCGTCTCTCATAATCATATGGTGGTTTTGGGACGTTAAACCCCACATATCAATCAATCAAATCATAAATGGGCGTAAGTATGCTACAAAAGTGATATTAGCCGCTACACAATATACCAGGCTGGAACGGGAGATAATGTAACTATAGAGCCGAATACCCAGATATGCACGTGCCATAATACGTCATTTTAGTCCCTTTACTTAATTTACTACGACTGTAGTGAATGCCGTACGCCCAGTGGCATGAAACACTAACACAAAGCTTTGCATACCCTACTCGGCCAATGCTTGATAGCGTTGCTTTTACTGTGCGTAAATATTAGGTATGTTCAACTCACCTCATGACCTAAGGTTATCACGGCTTATACCTTAACCCAGAAAACAGAATAACTTACAGAGCTTGTGCAGTGATGAAACCTCTATTTTATTACGTATGCATTTCTCTCCGTTTGGTTGTACATGCTAACAAATTACTGTATACATTTTTTGCATTGCACCAATGCTTTAATAGCAAAGAATCTAACTTACGCAGGCTGAAGCAGGCCACTTGGAGTCCAGATATGGCAAAGGCCAGGCCGATTCTCGCAACCAGAAAGAAGTTGAGACTCGAGCTAAAAGTTAGGGCAAACGCCGAAGCGCACAAGCAAATGGTGCTAAAAATGGCCACAACCCTTCTTCCAAACCTGAAAAAAAAAGGGTATTTGTTAGTTTCACGTCTTGCGCAGAAGTGTTATCGAAAACAGTTTTATTTTTGGCGTGAAAATATGCGAATTGCTCACCAATTTAGGTGTGTTATGTTAAGCACCTGCTGTCATTAAGAAATTTGGCAGATCCCCGCTTTATGGGAACCTATTTCGTGCGTAGCAGTAGGCGCGTAATTGTCTCTACAGCATTTGCTTTTCTTTGTTTTTGCTTCGAGCCATGTGTTTCGAAGTGTATCAACGTGTTTTTCGTATGTGTTTAGAATAGGTGTGTGCACGTCGTGGACCTTCCTGGAACATCGACTACACTGGCATTTGAAGGGCAGCCTATTGTAACGTATTTTGACGTCAAATAAGACACCAAATGGAGTGTTCAAGGTGAAATCCTTAATTTGGGGGAAGCTGTGCCTTACAAACAAAAACTCAAGTTACATAAATGCACACCGCACACTGATAGTGCTGAACGGGGTGTCAGCCGTGGATAATGGGATAAACAGTGAGGCGCGTCAGTAATTATTGATGTGGCACCGATGGTTCTAGCGTTATCGCTGGCACTTCCAAACGCTTTCGAAAGAACTTGACTGTTCGCGTCCCGCAATCTTGGCAACAATCTCAGACAATCAATTGATTTGTGGGGTTTAACGTCCCAAAACCACCATATGATTATGAGAGACGCCGTAGTGGAGGGCTCCGGAAATTTCGACCACCTGGAGGTCTTTAACGTGCACAATCTCCGACAATCGTGTCACTTCAAGAACATTGTGGTGTGGTCTGTGCGAGCATTGCGAACAGCTATTGTAGTTGATACTCGAATCCATCAAAAAAATACAGGAAGAAATGGACGAGGCAATATGTTCTGACGTAACGTAAGCGCTCTCGTTAGAGCACAAATGTCAGTAATACCGAAATGACGTGAGATAATGGTGCGTTGATGTGATAATCACACGTAACTTTCATCATAGCTTATTTCTCCGGAACCTAAACGCTTCAATATAGCTTGCTGAATTATAGGAATTCGACCGTAACGTTTATCAGACTGCTGTAAAAGCTGAGTCGAAGAGTCGAAACTGGAACCACAATTGACCATCATTCGGCGTCATGCCCAAATCATACGAACACAGATGGTCAGTAAATAATTTGGATCACTGGACTGGATGCCGCATTCTTAAGAAGCCCGCCAGGCTCCCAGGGTATCTAGATAAACGTTGCCTTGCGTCAAAAAACGCTGCTGTTTGTCCTTCTCAGCGCTGCGACAAGACATCCGGCGACATCGGTGCCTGTCGGCTCAACCGTGCTCACGTCTTTGCAGCTGACTCTCTGATCGAACGCCTATTGGTTGTCACATGACCCTAATTGCATCTCGGTTACAATCGTTTATATATTAGGTAATAATTAACTTCCGCAAGTGGTCTCTAACACTTAATTAGACAGACATAACCAGTAGTAGGAAGAATAATTCCTACTGAGCAGTGTGTAATACTACTCGAGAGTCGAAACGCTTATTTATTCTTAATTACAGGTCATCATCATCATCATCATCAGCCTGACTACGTCCACTGCAGGACAAAGGCCTCTCCCATGTTCCGCCAGTTAACCCGGTCCTGTGCTTGCTGCTGCCAATTTATACCCGCAAACTTCTTAATCTCATCTGCCCACCTAACCTTCTGTCTCCCCCTAACCCGCTTCCCTTCTCTGGGAATCCAGTCAGTTACCCTTAATGACCAGCGGTTATCCTGTCTACGCGCTACATGCCCTGCCCATGTCCATTTCTTCTTCTTGATTTCAGCTATGATATCCTTAACCCCCGTTTGTTCCCTAATCCACTCTGCTCTCTTCTTGTCTCTTAAGGTTACACCTACCATTTTTCTTTCTATTGCTCGCTGCGTCGTCCTCAATTTAAGCTGAACCCTCTTTGTAAGTCTCCAGGTTTCTGCTCCGTAGCTAAGTACCGGCAAGATACAGCTGTTATATACCTTCCTCTTGAGGGATAGTGGCAAGCTACCTGTCATAATTTGAGAGTGCTTGCCAAATGTGCTCCACCCCATTCTTATTCTTCTAGTTACTTCAGTCTCGTGGTTCGGCTCTGCGGTTATTACCTGCCCTAAGTAGACATAGTCTTTTACAACTTCAAGTGCACTATTACCTATCTCGAAGCGCTGCTCCTTGCCGAGGTTGTTGTACATTACTTTCGTTTTCTGCAGATTAATTTTAAGACCCACCTTTCTGCTCTCCTTGTCTAGTTCTGTAATCATGAGTTGCAATTCGTCCCCCGAGTTACTCAGCAATGCAATGTCATCGGCGAAGCGCAGGTTACTAAGGTATTCTCCATTGACTCTTATCCCTAACTGTTCCCATTCTAGGCTTCTGAAAACCTCCTGTAAGCACGCGGTAAATAGCATTGGGGAAATTGTGTACCCCTGCCTTACACCCTTCTTGATTGGTATTCTGTTGCTTTCTTTATGAAGCACTATGGTAGCAGTTGATCCCCTGTAGATTTCTTCCAGAATGTTCATATATACTTCATCTACGCTCTGATTCCGCAGTGTTTGCATGACGGCTGATATTTCTACTGAATCAAACGCTTTCTCGTAATCTATGAAGGCTATGTATAGGGGTTGGTTATACTCTGAGCATTTCTCTATTACCTGATTGATAGTATGAATGTGGTCAATTGTTGAGTAGCCTGTTCGAAATCCTGCTTGTTCCTTTGGTTGATTGAATTCTAATGTTTTCTTTACTCTGTTAGCAATTACCTTTGTAAATAGCTTGTATACTACAGAGAGCAAGCTGATCGGCCTGTAATTCTTCAAGTCCTTGTCATCTCCTTTCTTATGTATTAAGATGATGTTAGCGTTCTTCCAAGACTCTGGTACTCTTCCCGTCAGGAGACACCTCGTAAACAGGGTGGCTAGTTTTTCTAACACAATCTGTCCTCCATCTTTCAGCAGATCTGATGTTACCTGCTCCTCACCAGCAGCTTTGCCCCTTTGCATGCTCTCCAAAGCTTTCCTGACTTCTTCTATCATTACTGGTGGGGTGTAATCTGGGTTACTGCTAGTTCTTATAGTATTAAGGCCGTGGTTGTCACGGCTACTGTACAGATCTCTGTAAAACTCCTCTGCTATTTTAACTATCCTATCCATATTGGTAGTTATTTTGCCTTCTTTGTCCCTTAGTGCATACATCCGACTTTGCCTATCCCAAGTTTCCTCTTCAATGCTTTGACACTTCCTCCGTTTTTCAGAGCGTGTTCAATTCTCTCCATGTTATACCTTCTTACATCGCATACCTTACGTCTATTAATCAACTTCGAAAGCTCTGCCAGTTCTATTTTGTCTGTTGTACTTGACACTTTCATGATTTGACGCTTTTTAATTAAGTTCTTCGTTTCCTGGGAAAGCTTGCCAGTGTCCTGTCTAACTACCCTGCCTCCAACTTCCACTGCACACTCCGTAATGATACTCGTTAGATTATCATTCATTGTATCTACGCTAAGGCTCGTTTCCTCACTAAGAGCCGAGTACCTGTTCTGCAGCGACACTCTGAATTCCTGTACTTTCCCTCTCAGTGCTAGCTGATTGATTGGCTTCTTGCGTATCAGTTTCTGTCGTTCCTTCTTCAAGTCTAGGCGAATTCGAGACCGTACTATTCTATGGTCACTGCATCGTACCTTGCCAATCACTTCCACATCCTGCACGATTCCAGGTTGTGCACTCATTATAAAGTCTATTTCGTTCTTATTTTCGCCATTAGGGCTCCTCCATGTCCACTTGCGGTTTTCTCGTTTTCGGTAGAAGGTATTCAAAATCCGTAAATTATTGCGTTCTGCGAATTCTACTAGTAGCTCTCCTCTGGCGTTTCTAGTACCGATGCCATAATCTCCTACTGCCTGGTCTCCAGCCTGCTTCTTCCCTACCTTTGCATTAAAGTCGCCCATCACTATAGTATACTGTGTTTTTACCTTACTCATTGCCGATTCCACGTCTTCATAGAAGCTTTCAACTGAAGCGTCATCATGGCTGGATGTAGGCGCGTAAGCCTGTACTACCTTCATCTTGTATCTTTTATTCAGTTTAATTACGATATCTACCACCCTTTCATTAATGCTATAGTATTCCTCTATGTTGCCAGCTATGTTTCTGTGAATTAGGAACCCCACTCCCAGTTCTCTTCTGTCTGCCAAGCCCCTGTAGCAAAGGACGTGCCCATTCTGTAGCACCGTATAGGCCTCATCTGTCCTCCTAACCTCACTGAGCCCTATTATATCCCATTTAACACCCTCTAGCTCCTCGAATAGTACAGCTAGACTTCCCTCACTAGATAAGGTTCTAGCATTAAACGTTGCCAAGTTCAGGTTCCAATGGCGGCCTGTCCGGATCCAGAGATTCTTAGCACCCTCTGCTGCGTTGCAGATCTGACCGCCGCCATAGTCAGTTGCTTCGCAGCTGCTGGGGACTGAGGGCCGTGAGTTATTTGACGTAAGCATGTGGGAGGTAGTGGCCAGATACTGCACCAGGGTGGCCAATCCTTCTCTGGTGAGGGAGTGCGTTCTCGGCGGTGTTTGCCGGTGAGGCCGCACCCCAGGCCTCTTAATGCAGTTCCATCAACACGCGGATTTTTTTTTTTTTTAGTCCGGTTGGGAACTGCGCGGTACCGGGATTTGAACCACGGACCTCTTGCATGCGAGGCGGATGCTCTAACCACTACGCCATCGCCGCCGTTAATTACAGGTAGTAGGACTCTTTTCATTAGTAATATAATTCAGCACGCTTTCATAAAGGTGTTGTCTGATCGTGCTTTGGTCTTGTTGAATACTCTAACTTCATTAATTTGAATCACTCTTAATTACTTGGAGCCTAATTAGTTTTTATGTGCCTTGTCGAACTGTAGAGGTAATCTATCGCGGCAGTGCAGCGATACGGTGCTCAGCTGCTGACCCGAATGAAATTTGCTGGTTTAATTCTTGCCGCCGTGGTCACATTTTTATGAATGTGAACTGCTCTGCATCCGTGTACTGAGCCCTTTATGCCCCGCCGCGGTGGTCTAGTGGCTAAGGTACTCGGCTGCTGACCCGCAGGTCGCGCGTTCAATTCCCGGCTGCGGCGGCTGCATTTCCGATGGAGGCGGAAATGTTGCAGGCCCGTGTACTCAGATTTGGGTGCACGTTAAAGAACCCCAGGTGGTCAAAAATTCCGGAGCCCTCCACTACGGCGTCTCTCATATTCAAATGGTGGTTTTCGGACGTTAAACCCCACAAATAAAAATAATAATAATAATAATAATAATAGAGCCTTTTATGAGCACGTTCAAATATATATCATACGGTGAAAACATCCGCAGCCCTCCTCTACGGGGTCCTTCATAGTTGCGTCGTGGTTTTGGGACGTAACACTCGAATAATTATTACGATTATACTATTAGAACAGTGGGGGTGTAGTTTGCCGCTTTCTGGTTTTGGCTGGCATGTTATCGACGACTGGCGACCAAACGGTAACGTTGCTCAAGTAATGAATAAGTTAATCATTTCGCTTTAAGTGGCGTCGATGTCGATTACCGTGCGTTCAGACGTGTGTATGCATCACCAAGTGCGCATGCAAGAGCACGCAATTTGATCTAGAGACAGAGTCCACCCCCCTCTCTCTCTCCCCATTCTCAATGAAATGCTAAACCGCACCCGACCCTATTCTATTGGGCAATGTAACACCTTTCGATTCCCTTGGCAACAAGGTAAGCTTTCTTGGGACACCACAAATGCGCAGACCTCATCGCCACGTTTGCACCGGTGCGTTTTACCGAGGAGCAGCGGCCACCACTCCGGCACTGCTAATATTTGTGGGTACTTGTACATATATTGCGTTCATTGCTGTGTTCAAAATTAGATAAAAATTAGGTATCCAGAACTGCAAACGCAGTGGGTGTTCTGCCCGCATGACGGCTGCATATGTTTTTTTCACCAAAGCAGTTTCAATAACCAGCGTGGTCTTGTTGTAGGATGCCTGGCTGTCGCACAGAACAGATGGCTTCGTTACTGCGGGTATATTTTGATTATTATGATTTATAATTATAAAACACACGCACACATGCAACGCCGCACACAAAATTACACACACCTGTCCGAGATGTTGCCGATGAGGAGTATCGCCAACATTAAGCAAGCCATTTAAGCCAGGCATCCTACTACAAACGTGGTCTTGTAGTAGGATGCCTGGCTCTTGAATAAAACGAATGGGTTTGTTACTGCGGGTATTTTGATTATTATGATTTATGATTATAAAACACACGCGTACATGCACAACGACACACAAACATACACACACCTGTCCGAGATGTTGCCGATGAGGAGTATCGCCAACATTAAGCAAGCCATGTAAGTGCTTTGCATCAATGACCTCTTCCACGTATCTTCGCACACGAGGTTCCACTGAAAAGAAAAAAAAATGCGCATCTAGTCGAGGTATACAAGCTGTATTTTAAGCTCTTTTTCGTACACCCAAAGAGCGATGAATATAAAATGATTTAGAAAGGGAAGATTCGGGGGACGAGGAAAAAAAAAACGTTTCTCACCTGGCATACTTCAATCATCTTCTTTTTAATTGTCACTCCTTGGACGTAGGAACAAACACTACCAACATTCTCGGTAAGTTACTATCCATAAAATTTGAAATTTTCAGCTCAGTGTATGAATACAAGAAATTGGTAACACGAGAGCTTTCTTCATTATTTTTCTGTGCATCTTCGTCTCTTCGTTCTCAAACTTCGAAGTTTATCATTCAGTAAGCATACGAAAAATGCAAAAAGTCCAATGGCGTCTACTTGAGGGTATAATATGACAAATTAGCGTTTTTAAGCACTTCCGGCACTTCAAGCTGGACAGGGTGCTTTGCAGGCACCACTAAGAAGGTATCAGTATGGTTTTGGACGAGAATATGCACTTACTGCAATGCTGGTTAGCCGCAACGTTGGAAAGCGCTCCCTTCAGTTTTTTTTTTTTCTGGTAAGCTCGCGGTATGGGGGTCGGGCACTCTGGATATATGATGAATATGCCCACGGAGTAGTAACCAAACGGTGTTCGGCAAGAACAATCATTCTTACCGGATTAGCACACCAAGTTAGCCGAAAGCATCTTCGAAGTATTCGACCGTGAATGCTTTGCAAGACCCCCATGTTAGTTCACTCCGCGTTAGAAAGCACCATCGAGCCATACCGTGAATACCCCTAGAAAAGCGCCCTATATTGTTGAAGCATAGATCTCATAGTTGAGCCCCACGTTTTTTCAACGAGAAATTTCATTACGTGGGCGATAGATGTGAGCGTCTTGTTCAAGTGAGAGATGTCAGCACTACGCGAAACATCTCTGCCGATAACAAAACGCAAGAATTGGTGGCATCTTGTATATAAAAATCCTTACGTTTTCGATGGTAATTTGATACTTATCATAGAGCAGCAGGTAAAAGGCACCAAGGCGCACTTCTGGGGGAAAATTCTGAATCAGCATGGAAGTACACGGATGCTGCTATGGGCACTTTTTTGGTACTGCGCACCTACATTGAGATGAGCCACTATTGAATCCCAGATGCATATACATGTTGAATAATCAAAGTAGAACCTGCACCACTACGATGTAGTAGGATGCAAGCTAGACTATCTAAGGAAACTTAGTGCGTGCGCAGCAGATGATAGTTTTGTATAGAGGTGCATTAGAAATGACAATGTTATGGCCATTGCGTTTCTTTGGCACATTCTACGCCACAGCGGCAAGGAATACGCTAATACCGATTAGCGTGTGCGCCATATGCCCGTAGATGTTGTGTCGGTAACTTTTGGTAATTGCTGTAAAAATAGCGTAATTCCAAGCTGACCACCAGCTTGGAATTACGCAATAGTATCTAAACAAAATCTTCATCTGCCTCACTCTAGCAGCTTGATCATTCACGTTATACCTCCAAGGCAATAAAAGCTGAGATGATCTTTGTTTTGTGTGTATGATCCCGAACACTCCTCACTGAACATCGAATCCTGAATCCTGGTCTTTGATGCCAGTTTACGTCTACCAAAATAATCTGCCCGGTGTTAGGTAAGCACTTCTTGGTGCCATATTCATTCTATTATATGGCATATTCATGACATATAGTATTATGATTTGGGAGGATTTGCAGGGAGAAACCTACAACAAAATTATGAAGCACGTTGTGGTGGGCTCCAGACAGTTTAAGCCACCCCATGCAATTGAAAAAAATGAGAACTGATAGAGCACAGCTTCCGACTGTCTAGTATTTTGCCTCTATTCCAATCAAATAAAATATCCAAAGTTCTACGTTCCGAAACGAGGATATGATTATGAGAGATGCTGTATTCGATAAATACGCAAATTTCGATCATCTTTTGGTTTTCCGCGTTCACTGACATTGCAAAGTACCCACACCTCTGCCATCATGCCTCCATCGAAGAGTGACTGCTGTGGCCGCGATCGTGCCCACAACTTTCGTATCCGCAGCCGAGCATCCTAACCACATATTTCCGTGGCAGAATCCTCAATCAAAATGCATCTGATGCGACTAGGATTACACCGTTCGCCTCCGAGTCAGCAGATAGGCCACGTAACCACAGTACGTTCCCTGATACCAATGTCTTCTACCACAGAACTGCCCATACTTTTAAATTCACATCATTGAAATCTCTTTACGCGAAAGGGACATTTGCAGTGGTGGGCAATTCGACGAAAGCCTTTAACGCAGCACAATTTCTTAACTATTTTCTCACCTCATCTGCTGCCGTGTGTCCAAAGGCGTGCTCGTCGTACGTCCACGCCTCGCAGCTCTTGAGCGAAGTGTAGTCCGGCACGATCTCACCGTTCGTCGAATTCTGCAGCAATCCATACATGGAGCACTGACTGTACGAACCGGACACGTTGTCGTACGGGATGAATCGTTCTTTCCATTCGGTCTCGCTGATGTTCGCCAGTAGGCCCTCTGGTAGAGTCGGGCGCGAGCACCAGTGATCATTGTCCGTGACGAGAAACACAAACGCCAAGTTGTTGAGACCCGTCAGTATGCCGCGGTAGGTGATGTAGGCCACCAACCAGGCTTGCCATAGTCCGAAGTGGCCGATCAGATCAACCACCTCTGTCATGCCGCCCACTTCTGGATTTTTTTTTAAATGTCAGCAGGGTGAATAATTTACGGGGCTATTTCGAAGTGAGCAGTTAAATCACCGACACCAGAGCACATTCTCTCTGCGGCGAAATCATTGAGCTCTTACTTTTGAATTGGCTTGTTGTGTAATAACCTCCACCTCTTAAACATTCTATCGATTTTTTAGATGGTTTGCGCTGTTATCTTTCAATTTATAGTTACGTTGCTGGCGAAGAGTCTTTAGAACCCGATAAGCTACCAGGACAACAGATAGCTCGGTCATAAGAAAGACATATCCTGAAAGCATTTTGAAGCGAGGGTGACGAAACCAAAGCTCTCTTAGTTTGGCCGTGAGTGATCCTACTTTCGTTGAGCATACAAGTAATGTACATGCCGTTGTAAGCTAAAAGAAAACGACACCTTCCATGCACGATAGGAATAGATGGTATTCTGGAGGCTGCAGTGAAAAGCACTGACAACTTCGAAGATCTCGCATCAACTAGCTGATGGATTGGTTATAACTGGTGAATATGCACTCATGTTTCATGCAGTCACCAGCACTTCGATGATGCTTGATAACAGAAGCGAGGCTTCTTAAAACTAATAAAGTAGCCTACTTGAAATTTCTTTGAAATGCTGTTCGCGCAGCGTTGAAGTACCAGAAATCATGCGTTTGCAATCGACACTTACCGTGCACCTACCGCCTCGCTGGAGCTTTGGATGTCCTAATGGACGCCTGCTGGCACTTTACTTTCATACGGCAGATAACGGTGGCCTTGTAAGCGGTCAAAGATTGCTTTACAGCCGTTGTTCTGTTGTTCTGTCCGCGGAAGGACACCCCATTCAACGCAGTTATTACTACACGTGCACGAACGTACTTCCGGCTTAAACAGCTTTATATCAAGCGAAAGTAGGAAGCATGAAGGTTATTATCAGCTATCTTAAAATTGTTACCACACCTTATGGGGCAGTAATAAGAGTGCCGTAATTAAGTTAGTTCTGGTTGTAATGAACATAGGCACGTGCTTGGTAGAGGAGGAGGGGTAGTTTAGAGGAGCCGCTTTCCTTTAGTCACTAAGGGGGGGGGCGCAGCTTGTGCGTCTTACTTTTACTTCGTTGGACATGCCCCACTCTAGTTTGATAAGCATGGTTGTGGCCACCACGGTTTTCGACGATATTGATATTGACTGTTATTATGATATTGACTGTCAGCAGGCCGAATAGCAGCCCGTTTTTTGCGCGTTTGTTTGCCTTCTCATTTTCACGTTTTTCTTTTTTTCTTCTTGTTTTTCTTGCGTTTTTTGCTTTGTTTTTCAAGCAGCATTTATTGTGACCTGTAATTACCTATTGTTACACTTCTCCTTATGTAATGTACCTTGAGAGGTCCCTAAGGGTAAATAAACAAAAGATGATGATAATGATGATGACGACGATGATGATGATGAGTGTCTTGAAGTTGATTGTAGAGATAATGACGGCCGACGAAAGCCCCTGATTTTGCATTATAAGAACTGTTCACTTACCATCTTTAACATTGCAAAGGGATAAACCAAAGCTGTGTGGAGTACGACAGCTTAAGAGGAGTGCATCACCAATTAATTTTCTCATTCGCTGTTCCACAAGGCGGGAGTAGCAAGAGTAGCTCGCCGAGTAGAGTACAGATGTGCGGCCGCATCGTGATCACCGTTCCGTGGCGTGGCGAAAAAAGTCATCCACCCGATAATTCAATGAAGTATTTTTTCTCTCTTTCTCTCGGAGTTGACAAAAGGGGAGCAGGGGCGTGAAGCTTTAGCGCCCTCTTTGCTTGACACAGAAAGATAATGAAGTGCAAAATTAACGAAACAACAAAAATGAAGCGATCACGTGCTTCATAAAGGGGCCTACTTTGCTCCATGACTTTCGGGGCGACCTTTTTAAGCATACTCAATATCAAGGTGTGTTAGGTAGACTTGATAAAGATATTAAAGGTAGATTATTTCTAAAGAATTGATATGAGCGCAAACCGACGACACAATCTCGCAAACCCACACACCATGGCCTCAAACAAGCACAGCGCAAATATTATGGGCAGAAGCACAATACAACCTGAACCTGAGGTGTTAGAGGCTTATTTTATGAAAAAAAAAAAATAAGGACCACTGTGTAAGCATTCTGTGCGGTCTTTGTTTGTTAGTGAATCCCAGTTTATAAGTCTTAGGCTGTCATAGAGAAAAACTGTATGACTTGATAATGTATGCTGTTCACGTTTCTGATGTTAATGCACGAATGTGCCACTTGTATCTATGAATACAGTAGTTGGAAGTGTGCACTGTGCCTATTTCACGCGCGCGCGCGCGCGCGCGCGCGTGTGTGTGTGTGTGTGCGTGTGCGCGCGCGTGTGTGTGTGTGTGTGTGTGTGTACAAATTAGGTTTTCAGAAATGATCTACCAGCTAGTCCAACAACAAGTTCTGTTACTATTACAGGTAAACTAAATGTATCTGCGAAACAGTGTTACCAATTTATTAATGTAGATAATAGGTATTCGAAGTGTTTCTTTCCAAAATGTGTGGTCATTTGGCCAGAAGACGTCAACTTGTCTCCCTATTACGTTTTAATATAAAGCGTAACGCGTATATCACTTCCCGTATACGCTATGCTTATTGTGAGCGTTTTCAAAAGCTTTACGACTAGTTACAATTTCATAATTGTATAGCTGCATATGACATGGCCGTAATAACAGTATAACCTGCCAGCTAGGGCAGTAGCATGCATGATTTCATGAGCTCACTTGTAGTACAAGTGCGCTTGTCTGAATAGAAAAAAGCATGGACGTTCAGCATGTGGGATCTTATATAAGTGTACCAAGACTCCCTGATCTGAAGTAACAGTTTTAAAGCAGACATTCTGTTCTGTATGTACTGATCCGAAGGATAAAGAAAGCAACAAATATAAATGTCCACTGAGAATACATCAAGTTCTGTGAAGGATGTTTTTAATGGAGGATGGCGCCGCCATGTGTGTGTGTGTTTGTGTGTGTGGGTGGGACACATCTAATGTATGTCTGTGTGAAGCTTTTCTCATTTTCTTTCACTATGTGGCTCCTCATGACAGTGTATAGGTATTATTGTACTTATTTTTACTCGCAAGTAACGGTACTTACTCGTTGCTTCTTTTACTTTCGTATTCTAGAGGAACCCGCCAGCATATGGACTTTCGGAAAGTGCTTTAGGTAAGTGATTTGGCCTTTGCGATTCTCACGTCACATGTTCCTTTTTCCTTTAATCAGAACTAAGCATCAACATCACTGCAGCTTGCAAGCGGGAATACTCAAAACTTGGAAATGGTGTTTCAAAACACTTTAGAAAAAGTTCCTATTTAAAAACGGTAACTATACATCGCAGAGAAACGTAATAATTCTGAGCATAAATAACTGACGTTTTTGCTGCCAGATTTTAAGAATATTTTTGAATTAGTTTTTTCTGCAAACATTGGTACTTGAAATAGTTAGTCATGCCGTATCATAGGAAATAACATTGAGAGTATGAGAGACAGGATAGACATCTATATATGCTTCCTTTAACGTCGTGAATTATATGTTTGTTCAATATGGTGATCAGCAACGAAAGTCTAAACCCCCGTTAAAACGTTCCGTACAGGTGGCTAACCAGCGAAGCTGAAACGAGTAGTAGGGGTCACTACCTCGAGCTAAGAACTATTTAATTAAGTTTTGCTGTAGCGTTTGATATACATATGAGATATATTGGAGAGGTGCTTGCTTAAACCTCCGTCTTTACTACACCAGCTTAAAGGGCAATTAGAAAACATACAGGATTTAATGAGTATCAATTCATCCTGTGGTTCGTATCATATTTAGCTGAATATACTGACAAAACAAGATACAAACAGTGTGGAGACCCTTTCAGTTACCGTGTGCACACATTAAATCATCAGTACAGTTTCTGCGCCCTCACTCACCGTAACATTTTTTTTATTCTTGAAACTTACGCAGCTACATAGTAAAAAGCCTCCCGAATCTTCCCACGTGGAGAGCTTCAGTAAATGCGTCGCATAGTTGGGGGTATCACGTGAATGTCCCGCAATTGGGCATAGTTTAGGAATCCTTAACGGATATTTGGTCTTTATTATTCTTATTTATTGAAATAAGGAGAAGCGTTGCCTTCAATGAGTGGCGGGGCGCTGATGTTGGGTTGTGCCCCTTTACTTGTTGAAGGTACCGGTTCTTCCATCGCAACTACTTGAGTCAAGCAAAGCACCAAGTCAAGCGAAAGCCAAGTAAAGAAGCCCTTGACTGAATTTTAAATGTGCGATTCAGTGCTTTCCTAGACTAGGTGGTCAGTAAACGGTTGTGCAGTGCGAGCAGTTGGTTTTTTTACAGGCAGACGCTGTCTGCGTCGGCCTTGCGAAGTGAGAGAGGGCGAGGGGATGGGCACGAGACGCGAGCATGCGCAGTAGAGGTGTAGATGGCGCCGCCGACGCCCGATTCGCGGCCTCGCGTGACTCAGAAATGCTCCGCTTAAAACAAAAACAGTCTTACTTTGTTTTCGCAGGAAACTCACTAACCATCAGCTCTGGCGAGCAATATGGGCCATCTCTACAGCTGTCTTTCAAGAACGGCTTCTTAGTTTCGAAACATGGTGATGACCTGGGGCACCACGCCATCAAAAGTTCTCCGAATGAAAGCATGGAGCAAGCGGACGAAGGCATTGTCGAAGAAGCGCCTATCGCTATGAACATACTGCGCGTAAACAATGCGCCACAGTATGAAGACAGTGCGAAAAACTGCAATGGAAGTTGTTATCAAGCCAAAGCGGATATCAAAGTTGGCTGTAAGTAACGGCGTTATAGTGATTTATTGGGTTCCTCACTTCGTTTAGTTGCAAGATCATATATATTTTCCTCTAAATGACTCCCTTGGTCGCAAAAGGCTTGAACTGTCATTAACCTAAACGTATTGACCAAAAAGACAGCAATCAAAGTTCCAGTAATACTGCAATATGTCCGAACTTTTCTTTCCGACCGCTTGGCGGCTTTTCGTATTCGACAGCGCCTTCAGCCGTGAGGAACCTCACAGTGACCCAAACTGTGCCTGGAGAAGTCGTGTACAGCTGGCAGCGTCCGATAACTCCAAACGGTCCCCTGGACGGATACATCGTAACCACCGGTAACCTGGAGACGACGAAAGTGCTCATCACCGAAGTGCCAGGCAATGCAACCGAGCTCGTACAAAAGACCATTGAACAGTACACGGGATACAAAGTTGACGTCCAGGCTTACAACATTCTGGACCCCTACGGACTCAAGAAGGCTGGTCCTGCGGCAAGTGTCGAATTTCACAGCCTTGGTGAAGGTGAGCTGCGCAGTGCATTTCGATATATGTGGGGACTCTACATTGAATGGTTACGTTAGCGCTCACATCTGTTCTTTATGAGCGGGGGGGGGGGGGGGCATCTCGAAATCACAATACGGTGATGGGAGATGGCATATAGGGCTCCGGAAATTTTGATCTCCTAAATTACTTAATCACACGTACGTACGTAACCTTACGTAATCACACGGGCCTGTAGCATTCTGCCTGCATTCAAATGCGGCCGAGATGGCCGCAATTCATTCCTGAGACCTTCACGGAAGAACTCTTGCACTATAGTTTGTAGGCCTCCGTTGTGGGTAAATTTATACCATTTACGAGCAACTGTCATCTTTTCGTGGGTTATGTATAGCTCCAGTAATATCATAAACATAGCACCACGTTGTCCCTTTTAGGTTTTGTATTATGAAATTTGGTAAACTTACGTAAATTACATATATCGTTTATTGGCAGCACTTTCTTCCTTACTTGACCGTTCACTTGAGAATGAGGTATATAGCTTAGATTCATGCCATCTAAAGCACATATTGAGAGTATAAGCCATAATGAGCGTGTTTCCTATTGTTATACTACGAAGACTCATTGGTCTAACATAGAGACAGTAAATGTAGGAAGCTTGCCATCTGCAGTTATCCTTGTCGAAATTAAAACATGTCCACAAAAAGTGTATGTCCGTTCACAAATTCAAATATTTATCGCACTTCATTGCAACATTCTTTTAAATCAACTACGTGGTAACGTAAGTACGCTTTAGGTAACCTCCAGTGCCTTTTAGCTGGACTGAAAAAGCAGTGCCAGTGGTTGCAGTAGGTGTGCACTGCGTTTGATTGGAAAAAATTCACCAATGGAAAGATTTTCCAGCCCTCTTCACGGCTTACAAGCACAAAACTCGTATGTGATTTTGAATGTAACCATTGAACACCCAACTGCAGCTAGGCTGAACCATGATTGCGAATAATTTGGGCTCATACCATCTCTTTTTACTTCTCTCTGTCTTTCATCACTTTTTTTCCCACTGTGTACTGCTGATCGATTTGATTTATATGTGGGGTTTACCTTCCCAAAACCACCACATGATTATGAGAGACGCCGTAGTGGAGGCCTCCGGAAATTTCAACCACCCGGAGCTCTTTGACGTGCACCCAAATCTGAGCACACAGGCCTACAGCATTATCGCCTCCATTGAAAATGCAGCCGCCGCCACCGGGATTCGACTCCGCGGCCTGCGGGTCAGCAGCCCAGCACCTTAGCCATTAGACCACCGCGGCAGCACTGTTTGTACTGCAGACAAATATACAAAATTCCGTAACCAACCAACTTTTTCGCAATTCCCTTTCTTATCCCTCCTTTTCCCTGTTTTTCTTTTGGGTCTACCTCTCATGTGGGAGTAAATGAAAAGTTCAAAGGCTCAACGCACAAAGCTTCGAATAATTTCTGCATAATGTTTTCTGAATTAGCTAAAAATTTTAAAAAATGGAAAGGGTAAGCCGGTAAAGTATTTTGATGAGAACCAACATACAACAATGCCAATGAAAATATGGGGGATGCAATCCGGTCTCAGATGAATTGAAAGAGAATAGGCATGAGTCTAGATTATTCACAAGCATACAAAGGTCCTAAGTTTCATTCATGCGAGCGGCAAGTTACCTTTTACTCCACTAATATTTCTCCACACTGACATTACAATCACTTCTAATACCATCCCCCATACCTTTCTCGCATCATCCTTTTTTAGCTCTTATTGATATTTTATTGATATTGATTTTAGAAAAAGAAAACCATCCCTTATATTTGCAGTTGTTTTTTAAGGTTTAATAAAAAAACATCATAAGAATGCCTTGAATGTTGAACAAGCTCGGGCAATCAAAAACAAAAACGCCCGGAGCTGTTTTTTTCGTTATTGGTCTGTCGTGCTCACACTTTCTTGTTTCTTCGGCAGGGCCAATGCCTCCAATCCCGGAGCTTGAGGACACCTTCGAGCATGAGGTGCTGGTAAACTGGACGAGGCCGACTGATCTCCAATATTACGTCACGCACTACGTTGTGCGCTTGGAGAAAACTGCCGTAAACATTACTGTCAAAAAGACGAGCGTCTGGCTCGAATGCCTCGAGACGTGGCACTCGTACATGGCGTTGGTTTCGTCGTGCACAGCAAGCGACACGTGTGGTCCACCGAAAAAGCTGTACTTCCAAACGGACGTGGGAGGTAAGGAAAGTCATGTGGCTGTGCTGTTCATTTCCAAACTCATTTGTTGGGATTTTATAAGGTGGTAATTTGGAAAAACGGAGAAGCTTTAAGCCAGAAGTCTCAAGCTTACTTTAGGCAGACGGCTGCATTCGCAGAATTCAGTCCCGCAAGAGAAGGGTAAGGGAAGAGTATAAGAGTGGAAGGAGGGGGCGAAGTGGGTAGTTTATACACATTATCAGCAAACAATACCGTTGAAAAGAAAACATTCCCCATATACTTTATAGGTGTCGTTTTGGAAGAACTTTAGGGGTCATGATTCCATCCACCATGTGAATACCGATCACCATAGTGAACGAAATCTCGACGTCGATTCTCAAATAGTTTTTTTATTACATGGTTACGCTTATATACATGGTGACAACATGGTGTGCCCTACGAAAACATTTATTTAGACCAGTAATGTCCTGTTGGCTCACCAACGTACTTATGAAACTGAGCGAAAATACGGGATGGCAATAGCCATGTGCGGGCCACGTATTTAAGAGTCCTTCTTTCAGCAACGTCAACCCTTTCGAACGTGGTGTGTTGCTGGAGGCGACATTTCGACAAGTGGTCTTTTCTTCTTGGATTCTGTAACCTTGAAGAAAAAACTACTTGTCAAAATGTTTGCTCCAGCTACAATTCTAGTTTTAAAAATTTTTCCTTGTACAGATTTTAGTGGCACGAACACCGAGGTACACAGTTGCTTCTCTCGCAGGCATATCGAGTCGAGCACCTACTCCCCGTTTTAATAAATTTCCTCCGATGCCATGAGAAAATAGAAATACATGGTTCTGTTTCAAGACGCACAGTGGATACACATGATACCAAGCACCGCTTTGCTTCAATAAACGCCAGATAAGTGGCAACATGATTAACGAAAGCTGCTTATGTCCGTCGAAAGATTGCGAACCCTTTCGATTGTTGCGGCACCTGACGAAACAGATCTCAACTATACAAGCTCCTTTTGACCTTGTCTATGAGATCTATTTTGGCACTGCCTGAAGCACGAAGTTAACCGAAGGAATAGAACAGTCCAGGTCAACGCCGACGTGTGAGTGCCCTTACTAGACCCCAAAGTCAATGATTAATGTCACCTGCAAATGCTTACGATACACAATAGTTTCTACCTTTAATGTCCCAGTTATTATAAGTGTAAATAGCACTTTGCTTTCGTGACTAAGCACAACCGCCACCACTTCCAGCTCCTGACATGCCGAGGAACTTAACGAGCACCAGTGTTACGCGGTACGGCATGAAACTATCATGGAACAGTCCTGAACAAGTCAGAGGTCCCCTTGACGGTTACAAGATCACATTCGTCAACTCCTCGAACGCCTTCAACGTGATCACGAAAGATACGGAAATCACCGTGGACAACTTATCAGCAGACTGCGTCTACAGCGTATGTGTATCGGCCTTCAACCATGGTGCGCACCAGACCAAAGAAGGGCCGGCGGCTGCGATACAAGTGAGGACCTTATATGGACGTAAGTAGCCCACCTGTATTTGAATTGTTTTGTGATGTAATGTAAATATTAAGCCAAAAGCTTTCTTGGTCTCATAAGGTACGAAAAGTGACCATCGGCGTTGACGGCAATGCTGTTAAGCGAACGAGAAAAAATTCGTACTTCTTGAATGACAAAATGATTGTTTGCGTAACGTTTGCAACACAAACCATGCGAAATATATCGTGTGATAATACCGTGTTAACATTTTAAATGTTTTCTTCATTTGTAGTGGCAATAAAATCTGCCTGATTAGTGAGAAATATCTGACTGTACCGAATTTATTATCTTGTAGCCAAGACTGCCTCACCATGGCTCAGCGTCACCACGATAACGCTTATGGTTGTCGTCCCTGTCGTGTGCTTTGTCGTTCTGTCGGTTTACGTGGTGTACAAGCAGCTGCTGAAGAAAAGGCAAGTTACCTATGAATTCCCAATAACACCTTTTTCGGACGTAAGACTCGTTAACAAAAATAGAATTGCATTAATGCGTGTCTCGTGCAATAACGCCGTTCTTACTATTGCTTATTACCAAAAGCATGCCTTCCTAATTTTTGTTATATTATTCTCAATTTGAAGAAAAAGAAATAGAGTGATCGTTATCTTGTTTATTCGAAAAAAAAAACCTAAATTTGGGAGCGTAGAAATTCAGGTCATCGATGAATAAATGGATGCTCTTAAAATATTCAAAGTTTAGGTAAAACCACAATTTGATTAGTTTGTTCGGCAAAGAGGCCTTCACAACGTTAAGTACATAGCGCCACTGCGCCCAGTAATTTCACTAATTGATTTTTATGTAACAAACAGTTTTATAAATTGTTACCAGGTCTTAATGCTTCATCAGGGGGAACAAAATGAAAAAAAAAGAAATCAGTGCTTCCCCTACAGGCATAGCCAGAAAAAAGTTTGCCCTCCCCCCACCACCTCCGAAAAAGAAATTAAAGAAATTTGCAGCTTTGCAGATGACACGCGCGAACACACACATAGGTCTGGGGAATCAACAGCCATTTTTCCTGAAAAATCCAGCTATGAGATTAGATTGCGGGGCAATTGCCTGCAAATTATGCAAGGCTAGGTACACAGGCTACCTAGCACATCCTAATTCTAATTACTTCGCTTCCAGAGAGGACGAGGAGTTGCTGGCTTCTTCACAGTCGTGAACCATCACTGAACTTCGATTGATTCCAGCGAGTCTGACCAACGTGTTTTGTGCGCGTGCGCGACGGCGATTCGTCAATGTGACGTGCACTTGGTGCAGAGATCTTTTTATTCCGAACTCGGTCATTGAGTTTGGGAAAAGGTGTGATGTGAACTTCGATTCGCTTCAATCTGTATTCTGTTTTGTTGTTGATGTTTTTAAAGGCAACGAGAGATTTCTATACACGTCGTGAAAGACCCTTCGGACAAGTGCGAGAACGAGCTCAAGTGCAATTTCTGGTTGTGAAAAAAAATAGCACGGCGTTCTCTGCATGTGTCACGGACATTTACATCAATAAATATTTATAATTTTTTAAGTATCAGTGATGTCTAGCGTGAGATTACAATCAGCATGGAGAACGACCCCAGGTAAGAGATATTTCAGGCCATTTTGTTGGTGATGTTGTTGGTGGTTATTGGCGCATTTGATCAAGCTGTTACCGCATGATGTTATGTGCGTTCCTCAAGGGGTGCCGTGTCCTCTGGGAAATTCTACATAGCCCGTGCCATTTCTCTGTGCGTTGACACATCAATTGGCCACAAGCGCAGGCCTGCTACTGACTCCTGACAATTATAAGTCTGGCGGCGTGGCCACAGATGAGTATGATTCAGATGATGATCTCGAGAGCGGCGACTGTGCCTTACTGGAAGGACCGCAGAAGCAAGACGGAACTTTCGCGAAAGGAAATAGGATAGAGTCCGCAGCCAATACTTGCACCGATAACGCTCCACCACTTGAAGATTGGGAAGATTCGAACAAATATCCTAAAGGAACGCACTTGGTAAATACAGGGCAGGACAAGGCAAGGAGATAGAAAATTACAACAACTGAAAGAACGGAGAGAGTGAGAAAGGTTGAACCGCCACCAGAAGATCGAGCAGGAAATTGTAAGCCTGACTGACGTTGGTGCTGCAGCAAGCTTCCTGCAGGGGGTTCACACGAAGGAGGAGCAGCAGCCTACACCACCTTCTGAAGGTTCCTTTGCGAAAGAAGAAATGAAAGATGAATTGTTAGCAGATGCATGGCAGCAGGCGAAGACCAGCACCCATGGCATGGTCACTCAGGGGCAACAACTGTTGTTTGATGAGTCAGTCATTCGATGGTAAACTACGGTTGCAACTGGTGGTAGCCGAAGCCTCGTCGCTGCTGAAGATTTAGAATTAGGTCATGGTAGCCTGTGTGGAGGTCACTCTTCTGAGAAAAGACGCCAGGCCTGCGCGGAAGGCACAGCACAGTCAAAGGGAGAGCTGAAAGAGAGGCCTTTCAGAGCCTTTTCTAAACACTCATTGGGTGACTGCTGCAAGCACACTTGCTTTATACGCACTACAGCACTAATAATAAATTTTTTTAGTAGTAGGCCGGAACTGTTATGCCATTTTTTATCATTATTTTGAGAATTGTGGTATCCTCCAAACACTTGCAAAGAATTCTGTGCCAATCGTTCATGCAGTAGCTTACGACGATGAGGAATTATGCCTGAAGTGGGTATACGCCACAGTTAATAGGGGAACGAGAACAAGCTTTTGTAATGGGTTGGAGCATCGGACCGCCCACTCGTTACGATATTCGCATTGTGCGATGATTGGTTGTTCCTAAAACGCTTTATAAGTCATATTAACGCGATTGATTTTCCGACATCAAGCCTGCTTAAGGCAAGTGTGCCAACAAGTCCCAAGCGCCCGCGTGGCTCAGTGTTAGAATACTGGGCTGGCACCCAGTGCACCCAGGTTTGAGTCCCACTGTGTCAATTGGTACTAGTTTTTTTTTTCTAATTTCGTGGGATGTGGTTACGGACACCGGCGGCTGCGCACAATTACGGCGACTGCGCGTGACACGAGTTGTGATCTCATAACAGCTTTCCCTGTACAAGAAGAAAAAAACGCATTAGGAGCGCCTTCTTTTGGCCATAACTATGGCCCATAACAGTCGTCCCCAAAAGCCGTTTGAGGTCGTTTATCTCGACTGTACCGAACCAATGGAGCGCGGTTCGTCGGGTGGCCATAAATATGCCTTGAGTGTAGTAGACCTTTGCATTCAGTGGGGTGAGGTTATTTTCTTATGTGGTTAAACTTTCCAGATCCTTTCATTACAGCGTCTCTCATAATCACATGGTGGTTTTGGAACGTTGAACCCCACATATCAATAAAAGAAATCGACCTATAACAACATCACATAATCGAAACCTTACTACTGTCTAACGATGAAGGGGGTACCAGTGTTTCTACGACATTTATTCACGCACTGCACAGGCGATGCGACTGGCCGTGCGCCGCATTATGTATATGGATTCGGTCTCTCACGCGGTGCTTCATTACCGTTGCCGTGAACCGCGTAAAAGCGCATTGGCTTCAGCATTGTGCCAATGCCGTGAACTTGTAACGGGTGCTAATGGCAGTTGGACGTAGTTGGTCAACCAGCGATAGTACACTGCCAGGGGCGAGAATAGCAAAACGAAACAGTAAAGGTGTTTAAATACAGAGACAGGGTAGGCATCTATATATACTGTCTTTAACGGCATAAATTATATATTTGTTTAATGCGGTGATCAACAACGAAAGTCTGAATCCCTGCCCAAACACTCCGTACAGATGGCTAACCATCGAAGCTGAAACGAGTAGTAGCGGTCACTACCTCGAGCGAAGAACTAATTAATTGAGGTTTGCTGCTGCGTTTGATTTACATAAATTCCGATATTGGAGAGGTTCTTGCTTGAACCTTCACGTTTACTACACCATCTTGAAGGGCAATAAGAAAGCATACAAGATTTAATGAGTATCGATTCATTTTGCGGTTCGTATTGTATTTAGCAGAATATGCTGACAAAACAAGAAGAGAAACAGCGCGGACACCCTTCCAGTTACCGTGTGCATTTGACTGTGCACATATCGAGAGCGAAATTACATTTGTGCACCTGACTTCTTTATGTCATATTAAAGGGAATGAATGTTTCGTTCATTGTCACAAGCAGGAGCACTGCACAACCGTCACTCACCCAAACAAAATCTATATGGATTACCTCTATCATGGACGATGGTTTACGACAGTCCCACCAGAAGTGGCCTGAAAAAACACGCCAGGAAACACCACAGTGTGCAGATTGGCAGGCCATACACCAACTTACTCTTGCGCTACAAGGATTGCAAGGAGGTCGGATGCAGGCCTCTGGTCAAAAGAACCACAGTGGCTTACCGGAATCAAGCGAGAACTCGGAAAGAAATTGGCGAGGCCCTTGTTATCAGCCGAGAAGACTTGATGTGCATAAGGAAGAGAGAGAGAGAAAACTTTATTTGCGCATAACGTGGAGCACTCCAAATGGTCGGGCCCCTATTCCAGGGCTCCGCTGGCCCTAGCCATCATCTCTACCCGTTGGACCAGCCAGCGCTGATCAACAATGGCCGAGCTGGACAGCAGTGCCTCCCATTGTTCTTCTGTGTTGTTCATGTTGTGGTGTTCTTCATTGTGATGCGTACACTCCCACGTGATGTGAAACAGAGTTGGTGTGGCCCCACACCACGGACATATATCTTTGTATGCTGTGGGGTAGAATACATGCAGCCTGTGTAAGTTCGTGTATGTGTTTGTTTGGATTCTGCGTAATGCCACCGATTCCATTGCTGTAAGTTTTTTATGCAGTGCTGTAAACACTTTTCTATTGTCCCTGTAGTACTGAAGAATTGCACCAAAGTTAGGGTCTAGGGGCGTTGGATCCTCTATTGCAGTGTGCAAGGAAGCTCGGTAATCTGTGAAGCCTCGAGCCGCCTCATCCGCAAACTGGTTCCCGGTGACGCCCTCGTGCCCTGGCGCCCAGATAATGGTTTGGGTGTATTCAATTGGGAAGTCCTTGTAAGCTTTGGTTAGAATTTGGAAGGCCTTCATACATATTCTACCTTTTTCGTAATTTCTACATGCAGCCTTCGAGTCTGTGATTATTGTCATTTGGGGCTTTTCGCTCCATGCCCTCCTTGATTGCCAGCGCGATCGCTATCTTCTCCGCTTCTGTGATAGAGGCTTGGGCTATGGAGGCACAACTTGCGACGTTTACTTTTCGGTCTGTGACCACGGCCACCATGTTCTTTGCATTTACCTGATATGGTGCAGCGTCAGTAAATCTCGCCGTATTCAGATATTTTGTCTGTTTATCTATGTAAACGGCTCTTGCTTTACGTCTTCCAGCATGTAAAACTGGGTCCATGTTCTTCGGTAGGGGGCATATTTTGTACCAGGGTCTGACTGAGCACGACAATTCCTTAGCTCTTCCATGTGCCTGTACTTGTTCGCCAAGGCCGATTCTCTGAAGAAGTTTTCTGCCGGTTGTCGTCTGTAGCAGGCGGTTAATATGGGTGGTTACTTGTGCCTCAGCCAACTCATCAAATGTATTGTGAAGTCCGAGCGCTAATAGCTTCGCAGTTGAAGTGCTTTGTGGTAGTCGCAGAGCTGCTTTATACGCCATTCTTATTATTTTGTCTGCGTTTTCTTTCTCCTCTCTGTTCATGTTGTGGTAGGGTAGCGAGTATGTTAGTCTGCTGATGATTAAGCTCTTTACCAAACGAAGCATGACTTGTTCTTTCAGTCCAGCACGATTGTTCGTTATTCGAACTATCATACGAACAATTTGTTGAGCTGTTCTTTAAGCATATTCAGTGTGTGGAGACATCGCTGATTAGACTGTAACCACATCCCTAAGATCCGAACAGTTGTTATCTCTGGTATAATATTGCCGTCTAGCTTGACCTCAAGGCGGAGGCTCGGGTCTGTCCTTTGTTTTTTACTCTTGGAGAACCGAATGAGTTCCGATTTGTCTGCTGAGCACTGAAGCCCCCTTTCTTTAGTGTATTATTCGATGGTTTTAGCTGCCAGTTGAAGCCGCTCTTCTTTTTCCGTCAAGCTACCCTTGGTTGTCCATACAGTGATGTCATCCGCATAGAAGGAGTGTCGGATGTCGGGAATACCTTCCAGTTTTTTGGCTAGACCAATCATGGCTATGTTGAAAAGCGTAGGCGAGATCACAGCGCCTTGTGGTGTGCCTTTGCTGGGTGGGGGAAGACATTGGATTCGTGTTCTCCTAATCTGATAACAGCGCTTCTTTTAGTAAGGAAGTTCTGTACATATTTGTACGTCCTTTGACCGCAGTTTGTCGCTGCTAGCCCATCTAATATGGCCTTATGGCTTACGTTGTCAAAAGCGCCTTTTATGTCGATGGCCATGACAATGTTTTCTCCTGCTTTTGGAACATTCGTTAGTACTTCCTCCTTTAAAAGCAGAAGGATGTCCTGTGTCGAAAGGTTCGAGCGGAAACCAAACATGGTGTTTGGCAACAAGTTA